CTGACTCACGCAAAACCCGCTCTAGGTGGCGCTGATGGACATACCGGAATCTTCCTTGACAGGGAGTGGAGGCAGGCGGCTTCATTGGCCGCTGTGACGATCCCACGCTTTCAAACGGCTCTAACGGTCGAACGCCATGCCAGGCGGAATGGCAATCTCCTCATAACTATTCTCCAATCCTCCTGTACAAAAAAGACTCCTCCTACCACCCGGATCTTTCCAAGACTTCTCTCTTCTCCTACGGAACCAGGCACTGAAGATCGCATCCGTTAAGCTTTACTCTATTAACCTTTACACCACGCAGTAGTCTTACCGAAGCGCTGCAGTGAAACGGCTGGCTTTTTCTGACCATTTCTGACTTATAAGCTGCCATCAGCGAGCCATATACAAGCACAGGTGTGGATTATCAGGGATTCGAACCCGGGATTTTGGTTATGGAGCACAAAAGATATTGTATTTTGTACAGACTGATTAGAGTACAATTTCGAACAGCTGACAGTTTAACTGTCGATTTAGATAAGGCTCAATAGGTGTCCCACAACATATTGGTGCAGGGACAGTGAATCCCGCATTATTTAGTTTATAGTGGTAATGGTGTTGCGTGTCCCTACCACACCCTCACCTCTCCCACCCGGCACGATGTAACTAACAAGTCAAAACGTCGGACGAGGTCGCATACTGTTGGCGCGGCCGGATCCACCTCTAGGTGTACCGCCACATCTGACTTGGACTCCACGGAGTGGGCGTGCCACAGAGTCTATAGCCGAGGATTTTATAGCATCCTTGCTAAGCCACCCACGTTCAAATCAATAGGGTTATCGCACTGAGTCAGGTTGAAAATCTGTGAGCAAATTAAAAGTACGCCTACTGAAATGTATTTAGTTGGTGTTTAAGTATATTGTAAAAAATCATGCACTTCTAACGATAATTCTGCCGAGGTCGCGTTAAGTGGGAAGCAATGTAGCCTGACTCTCCATCCGCCAATCGGCTCTTCCACACAAACACGCACTGGCTTACTGTGAGGTCCAAGTTATCCCTTCAGGTGGCTGACACGTCTTTCAGTGCATCATGATGGCCTCCAACGCGGCAGATGGTTTACAGTGAGAAATGTGCCAATCAGGTGAGGGCACACGCTCAGTGCCACAAGAGCGTGGTCTTGTGAGGCATGCATTACAGTGCCTCGAACGTCTGAGTCAATCCTGCTGGAGTTGATTGGTCGATTTTGAGAGCTGTGCTTGGCCTACGTACCGGCTGGCACTTGTGCGCAGGGGAATCCAACTTCGCCGCGGGCGCTCGGTGTAGGTCCACCCTGTTGAGGGAGGTATCCCAGTTCCTACAGGCTGAAACCGGAATAACTGTGAATTCGATACTTGGAAGCCTCCTCCCCTCCCCCTCTTATCCACTCTTTTCCCGATTTAGCATTAACTGCCTTCCCCATGAATCGAATGGAGGGCACGAAGAAGACCAATGCCAGGCCGCGCAGAAACGATGACGCAGAGCACTTTGATGCGCGCTTCAAGATTGTCCTGTTGGGTGAGTCGGGTGTCGGGAAGACCTCACTCATTCGTTCTGCAATGGGGCAGGACTTTAACCCATCCATGATCTCAACTATAGGTAAGAGTTTGCTTTGGGCTGCAACTACTGCTAGATAGGACTAATAGACTCACTAGAAAAATAGAATATTATCCTTTCAGTAAGACGCCTCCTAATTGATAAGTACGCAGTCAGCTTACTATATCAGTATTAGTGTATTCCATATGTTGCAGATGGCTGGATGGATAAATTGATCCAAATTTGCTTAAACTCATAGCTGCCGGTGGGGCCTCAATAGTTCAGTTGGCTAGAGTGTGGGCTGTACTAATGCCTTCACTTGCTGGCGTAAGTTCGAATCCCACGGAGGCCGTCGAGTTTTTCGCAGTTATTCAAATGAATTATTGAAATCTGCCAAACTGCTCTGTATAATATTGAGCTGAACGGACACTAGTGGGTACGCTATCGGTAGCAACCAGTTGTGAGCGTGAAATTCACTTAAATACCTGTTAATGTATCCCTAAGTGATACAGAATTTCCTTCGCTGATGATTGTCGTAACCGCCGTCAAGGATGATTTGTATGCCAAGTGGAATGTTCATTGCACCGGACTCAGTATCCCAGAGACTACAGATGGACCTTGCTGAAGGGCCTAGTCCATCTATGTGTGTGGTCGTGACTTTTTGGGGGCGCAGGAGCACTCCCAGCTACACCCAGGTTAAGTAACTTGGTAATAGTCGAAACGGTTAGTGGAGTTGGATCGCTGTGCCTGGCTGAAGCGGCTCAAATATCCACTACACTTTGATCTTCCAAATCTCCAGGCCAAGTTTCGAGTAGCAGGAGCAGGCAGATGTCACAACACCACGTGGTTTGCTCTACTGTAATATCTCGCTCTATCGCGTTTCGACTCTCACATGTTCACTGTATCGTGGATTTTATATATCGACTTCGGCCTGGCAGGTGTTTGCCTGCTTATGACCCTTACTACACACGAGAATTTTGTTTACCTTGGGAAGCCTATTGGATTCCTGTGCACCCAGTCCTAAGTGAACAAACACCTAGCGACTAGAAGGATAGGATGGAATAGATCCGATAAAGCAAAGGCAGACCGGAATGGCCATTTCTGGCTTGTTAGGCGTCATCAGTCAGTCATGCCCAATCTTAAGGGTAAAAGCCTCTAAAATTTGAACACGAGACCTTTGCTCATTGAGTTTACCACTTTACCATTGCATCTTAAACTGGTTGCTTTGTCGGTTGAGATCGGGCTCTGATTGTGAGCTCCAGGGCGAAACGGAACTTAAGTGTTCCACTTTCAGATCGGCAATGTCCATCTATTTATCGTATTTCCGATCTCAACCGGAAATGCATTTGTTATAACCGAGTGTGTTCCTGTGTCAACACCGGTTAAGTGCCCCAGTTACGTGTTAAGAAGAGAAGGCAGAACAGGGTAACAGACATTACTTTACTTTCAGTTGTACTAGTATATCAGCTCTGTTACCGGTGTGTCCAGCAGCTTGTCTTCTGTGGTCGGTCTCGTCTCGGCAACAGTCTCTCGTCTAGGGCAACAGAGTCTG